ACATTTATATTTTGACGCTCACTTCATATCGGTACACCTGGTATACCAAGATGTTTGGGTATAAATTATAATAGTGACAAGCCGTGCTGGCTGTTGTTTATATACATTTATATGCTCTTTAAAATTATATAACACCTATTATTACAACTTTATAAAACTTTATTAACTTTCAATTAAAATAATCGTTTTGTGTAAAAAGTATACATGTATAAGAAAAAATCGATCGACAAATATGTATTTTGACTAAATAAAAGACGATTATTTTTAAAATCAAATCGGAATCACCTATCCCTAATTTGTAGCAGTTCACTTTTTTCTTTACCGTAGTGAAGCTCTCCAACGAAAAAACGTAAATTTCGCCGGCGCTCAAAAAAGTCGGTCGAAAACTCCGTAGCATCATCAGAATAAGCAGCTTCTGTGATTTAATGGATGTTTCGTACCAAGAACTACCGTATCTGCAACATTTCAAAAAGAGACGTGAGCTAACTGCAGAGAAAAGAATATCTAAAGGAATTAGGTGGCTTCTTTTAGCTGAGCTATAAGACGATCGTCTTACATCTTGTCGCGCATCTCAAGACTGTGGTTTATCAGTTTCTGTCCTTCAAAACTAAGACAGAACAAGTGAAACAGTTGACCCATCACGTGGAATACGTACCTGGTCATTTCCAAACCACCAGCTTCCTGCTGTGTGATCTTGAATACAGAAAATGTAATATTTTAGATATTTGCGATTCCAAAAAATTCTATAATAAATGAGTATATGTACTTGTAATAAGGTACAGCTTAACGATATGACAAGTATCAATAATTGTACAGCGAAAGGTATGGTAAAGATTTTTTCAACAAGTTTCACGAACCTGAGGCAAATAAAAGTTGTTAATCAATTATGTACTCATCATAATATCTCATTATTTCTTTTATTTCATTTTATATTATGTCTGATGCGGTGTGTCATTATAATTAATAAATTTCTTGGAGTGAAATCTTATTAGAAACGAAGCGAAAATATTCACTCGATGTGTTAGAGCGATGAATTCACTCTGTATGAATGAAAAGTCACTCGAATCCAAATGAAACTACAAGCACTCTATTTTTTGAGTGAAACTCCACTCCGCGAAAAAATTCAAAAATTTCCCTACGTTCAACAACAACGTACTTACTCTAATATCTGTCGATGCATGTGCACAAGGAATGCGATTCTTTTACAGTAGGTCTCGTCTGAATCTGCTTTAGTATTTTTTTCAGTATTATCGTAAATGGTAATTAAACATTCGAAGCGAGATCTATAAGCAATTCGTACGACGACGATTTCACGATTATTTCTTGTCGAGTACATCATTATAATATATTTAAGAACGACGTGTATTTCCCCATGTCACGGAATTGCTTTCTTACCCGAGTATAGAGAACATGCAGCAAACGTGTTCGATATAGGTGACGAATATGCAGTCGTGTGCGACTAAAGCGGTCATACATATTCCGCAAGAGACAATAGCATATCCGTAAATGTAAATCAAATATTGTCTACTGTCCACAAAATAGTATACAGGGATTGGTAGTAACACAGGGCGACATTCGTTGAGCGGCATTAGAACATCGAGTATTGGTGGCACAAGGCTTACAGACGTAAATCCGTATACCCCTAAGAAGCAATACGCTGCAAAGCACAAAATATTTTACGAGAGAAAGAAAGGCAGAGCAACACACACACAAGCAGAACAGAGTTCCCATTCTCAATACTCACCTGAATAAATCGCAGAGAAACGTTTACAAAACATAGCATGCGACTTGAATATTTCGATCTCTTCGGGTGTTTCCAATTCTTCACAGTCGATGAACAAGCGTTCGATAAGATGTTTGATCTGACGAAGCAATTGTTACTAACACGAATTGTTACTAACGCGAAGAGCATATCGATAAATGCGAGTAAAACTGCGACCGAAATTAATGAAATAGTGCGTGCAGCTAGTAAAAATGAAGCATTAACATGATCCAACATTTTTCGCTTCGTGTAAACGGTTCCATAGTAGGCAAGAAGATGATCAGGACAATATTAGAAGTGGCAAAAAAGGAAAGAAGGAAAAAGAAATGTTGAAGGCTAAGGAGGAACAAAGTTACTTTCTTATAATTTTAATTTTTTATTAGCCTAGTCCTGAAAATTTGTAAATACATTGTGTATATCCAAGAGAAATCCAAAATACGAATATTAAACAACGTACCTTAGAAATATTTATTGGGAATGTATACAACGCCACGATGGCTACGAACATGAACGAAAGTGTTGGCACCGACTTGAGGATACATTGTATATCTCTTTCACACTTAATTTGGTACGCGACCTAAAACGATCAATTAATGTCTCGCGATAAGTTAATCCGTGATTATATCGTTGATTTACCTGCGGGACAAATAAGGCTACTGCGGTTATGGTCATCAAACCGATACGAAGATATCTCGTTCTCGGCTTCAGGTACGGCCACATACCGGTGAACAGCGATAATTTTTCGACTAAACCGTAATGACGACTCCAGATGACGTCCATAGTAGTTGGAGAAATGCTACTGCTGCAACACTGCGCGATCGACTAACTTCTGAATTCCTTTCTTCATATGCGAGAGATGAATAAATAATGGACGGTAGGCCATACACGCATAAATGGGAACGACCGTAAACACCAAGTTTTTCCAATCGGTCCTGTTGCAATTACGCGTATCGCATATCATGCAAAGCAATGGGGAGATGAACGAAGACCTGTTGATTCCAGCCGAATTCTATCAATAATAAAGTAGACGATCCTCGTGCGATACTTCCTTGTACGAAATATGTCAATCAACATATATTATACGTTAGCGAATACCTTCCTTTGAAAGAGACTGCAAAACACTAACTCTTCTCCGTGCGATCGGATATGGGAGAAACAAAGTGCAGCTTGCGAATAATGAAGGGTTGTCAATTACATCCATGGCACGAGTAGCAGTGCTGTACAATTTTATGTGGCTTTCACAAAACAAGGTATAACACAAAGGGGAAAGGGACACCATTGATTGGTATACCGTCGGATATACCTTTAACAAGTTTCGGAGAAAATCGATTGAAAAATAATAATGCTTTTCTACAAGAAAGAAAATGTGCTAATTTTAAGTGAATAACTTGTCCTGTAGTTTTTAGTAAATTTTGCATGATGAACATGTATCATGAAATTGGGCTTTATTTACAGTATATTTTATAATGAATATTCAAAATTCTGAATATGTGATCTTATGGTAATTCTCTTTGCGAGTGAATTTCTACAAGAATTATTTATTCAAACGGCTTAGAGCGGTCAGTCGTCAAAGTTGAACTCCAGACGAAGGACACACTTTATATTAATGTAGAAATTGCCATTGGAGGCGAAGGTTTGAAGAAATCGTTTAAATAATTTCACGAGGTTAAACTTAAAATGCAGTGAATTAACGTCAGTGCAGTTCTCCGTAGTAGATAAAGTTTGGCACGTTGAAGAATAGCAGTAATATCGTCGGTATCCGATTGAAAGATCACTTTTTGAAAACAGACGGCCATAATATCGTTTTCCACTTAACCTAACGATCACATTTTAGACGAATGATATAAATATATATTATTGTAGAGAATAAAGGTAGGTACAGTTTTGCAGTTAGTATAAAGCGTGTGGAATTGGTTTGCAGAAACGTAGAGAGCATTGAGAAAAGCGTTTGCATTATTGTTGCAATTTTGCGCTGCACGTTTTTGTGACGAAAGTCATGCGAGTCTTATAGGCAAAATAGCATTCAGTTTTGCTGCTAAGTATAAGTTGACGACCAACGAAACCATATTGACGGGCGGACTGCACTCGGTACCTTCCTTTGTGCGTTCATACTTACAACCCACGTTACGTCGCATGACTCCATTTCTGAGATACTACATTTGACCTGAAAATGCTTAGTTACTAAAATCAAGCCACTATACGGTAAAACATCTTGTGTTCAAATGTTAAAATCTTTTTGTGTTAGCCACTTTTGATTATTACTTCAATGTTAAATTAACATACAGCTGATATATTAGGTGAAGTAAAAAGTTCTGAACGTTTTCCGCTAGATGTATACATCGCATCGGGTCATACTATACGTCGATTTAAAAGTGACATTACGCTTCAAAAAAAGTTCTGTGACAGTTTTGTGTTTAGTCAAAGCAGTTGTGTGTTACAGCGTTCTAAAATAGAGGTAAAAAAAGAGAAAATTCGATACATTCTTCAATACCACTACGACCAAGGTGAAAAGGCGGAGCAGGCGGTCGAAAAAATTTGTGCTGTTTATAGACCCAATACAGTATCGAATGCAACAGCAAAGCGGTGGTTCCAACGATTCCGTTCTGGTAATATGGACGTCGAAGATGAGGCACGCTCTGGTAGGCCAATCGTCGAAAATGTCGATAAAATCATGTAAATCGTCGAGTCGGACCGGCATGTGAGCACTTATTCCATTGCACAGGAACTGAAGATTAGCCAGAAAACCGTTTGAAACCATTTGCATAAGGNGCAAAGCGGTGGTTCCAACGATTCCGTTCTGGTAATATGGACGTCGAAGATGAGGCACGCTCTGGTAGGCCAATCGTCGAAAATGTCGATAAAATCATGTAAATCGTCGAGTCGGACCGGCATGTGAGCACTTATTCCATTGCACAGGAACTGAAGATTAGCCAGAAAACCGTTTGAAACCATTTGCATAAGGCTGGTCTCAAGAAGAAGCTCGATGTATTGGTGCCACACGAATTGACGCAAAAGAACCTTTTGGACCGAATTAATGCCTGCGATTCTTTGCTGAAACGTAACGAAAT